ATATGATGTTTATATTTTTTTTGGTTTCCATCCCGACATTTTCAGGCACAATTGATGTGTACGTTACGCAAATGAATCTTCGTCGATCCCAACTTACTTTGAGTTGGCAAGAAAGGATTGAAACCACAGGATTTCGGGAGGCATCAAAAATCGGAGATTGGACCACCAAACATGCGAAATTCACCAACAGAGGGTCAGCATCTGGAGTTTAACAGAGAAGAAGGAGGGTCCCAAGGGTTGAATGAAGGCAGGTCCGGGTTCCGCCAAAATCATCCGTTCAATGGGGAAATGCATCTGTCCATAAAGGCCTGGTCAGTTTGAGTCCCTTCCTACTAATAACCCCCTCCGAAAGCCTAGTTTAGTATTGGATCGAATTGTTGGTCTATTGGAGAATGCATTTGGTTGAGGATGGGATTGCTAGCATTTTTTGGGGCATCCCCAAATATTGAGAGCTAAACCATGCTAATCTGCATATAGAATGGTTAACTCATATTGAATCTCAATTCTCAATGGTTTAATCCCAAGTTTTTTGTGGTTACCGGGGTGTATATAATCAACCATGGCTTGCTGGAAAATTACAATTTCATCTCGATGATTTTTGCCTTTAAAAGCTCCGTTTTTAGGAGACTTCCCATGGAAACACATATGTTGATTCGAACATGATGGACTTCTTGACATTTTGATGGAGAATACATGATGAACATGTTGAGAACCGTCTTCAAATGGAATAAAATCAACTTTTCCACGTTTTTCCATAAAAAAAGGTACATTTTTCCATGGAAAAATGGCATCCCGGGTTGGCATTCCCTGTCGCGTTCAGGTCCTACGGCAATGTTCCCGGTCTGGGCATCCTCACTGGCAATGAGGCGCGGCCGCGATTTTGCGCGCGGCAAAATGCTGGGTTTTCAGCAGCATTTTGGTGGCTCAAGCATCCACTGTGGCTTGTGGCTCAATTAATCATCAAAAGCCATAAGCCACTGGGATTTTATGGGGATTTCAACACTCAAAATCTAACTTGACACATCGCCGCCAGTAGTAGACCATGAATCCATGATGTAGCTATGGAAATCGAAGAGTTTTCTCATTTGGACATGATCTATATACATTCGGGTAGATTTTCCATATCTGTGTCAGTTTACTGAAGGTAATAAGCTGGAGGATATTTTGGCGAAGTGGTTTGTTTGCTTTCCCCTGTCATTCATCAACCAGGGTTTATTCATCCAAAGTTGATATTTACCCTCTGGTAAACGTTTACATAACGAACTGGGAAATCACCATTTTTAATGGATAAATGATAAATCCACTATAAATCACCATTTTCAATAGCTTTTTGTATGTTTACCAGAGGGGACCAAGTTTCCTTGTTGGATCTTAGCATTTGATGGTATTTGATCCCTGCCTGCGAGGCAGCTGCGTTGAAACCACTCCAGTAGTGTTCGAAAATCCCGCAATTTCTTGTTGAATTGCTCTCAACCTGATTCATTGCCAATCAGTTATACAATGTGATACATATTCTGAAGCTCAATTCCCGAAGTGTTGGTCAAAGTTGGAGGTCCCCATTATTGTGAAGTGATGTACTGGTACTCCCTTTCGATCTATCAGATCTATCAGTCACTCCAAGTTCACTGGTCAAGCCCCAAATCCGTTGCAGAAGATAACGCCCAATTACCCAAGCTGGTTATGACATTCACAGTTCGCCATGGTTTTTCGATGGCCCTAATCGAAATAGATGGTAAACACCGTTCTTAATAGCCATGGTGATTTTCCAGTTCGCGAACTGTTAGTCACAACCAGATGGTTCCGGTGAACGGAACATGGTCTACACATCTGGAGGTTTGACATTCACCTTTGGTGAACGGATTCTTGTGTTAAACGTCTTCAGGTGAACGGAACAAAAAAACGACACGGACCTCCCTATCTTTGAGGGCAATATTTTTTTATCATCGTTTCCTGTAAGATTCTGTTAGTACTCCGTTATTCCGTTTGATCAATCGATTGACCGTAACTTTTTGTTTAGTTATCCAGCCACAAAGAGAACACACCTCAACCAGCAGCTACTAGCAAGAGAGAATGCTTAGATTGCAAATCTGTTGGCAAAGTCCCGAAATACAAAGTTGAGTTGTCAATGGACATATTTATAGAGATAAATTCACCAGAATCAAGAAATCTTCCGATGTTCATCGATTCACCATAGATATTCACGAGTAAGTTATCCATAGATTTGACCATACTAAACCACATTAAACCATACTAAAACCACGCAAAAGCCGTAAATCGGGGTAACATCCCCTACCCCCTCTGGGTGATTGGGTCTCTATCGAAAGCCAGTCACAACTTATCCTTTCGTTCAGGTGGCCTCGGCGGTGGGTCCGACCAAGGTGGCAGGCGCAGGGGAGATGAGCGGTTGAAGTACCCTCTGGTTATGTCAAAATAGCTATTGAAAATGGTGATTTATAGTGGATTTTCCCATTAAAAATGGTGATTTTCCATGGTTATGTTAGTTTACCAGAGGTTATCTCTAAATCTCTAAGTGGTAGAAATGAGAATTGTGGCAAATTATGCTATGGGTCACGAACTGTATCACTTGGTTTGATGAAAATAGATAGTATATAAACTATCTGGTTGGTTTGATGAAAGTCATTATTAGCAACTCTACATATCTGGCTATATGGGGTATGACTACTCTATGATTATCTGACTCTTTGGGGTATGATTATCTGATTATAATCCACCTCATTTAAAGTATCTGTAAGTGGTATGAACTACTATGCGTATAGACATATGCATATCTACGAAGGCAATTATGGAATATTATACCAAATTCTAATTTCTGTAACATATTTACCGGTGCGGATGGTATACATAGCATCTATCAATGCTGTCAGTTTTTATACATTTCTATAAAAAGGTAGAATGGTACAGTATGTAGATTGAGTGGTATACTGTAAATGATTGTAGATGACTATCAATATCTATAAATAGTACAAACATATAAAGTCCCCCACATGGATTGACAATGGATCTTAGCTATAACTACAGTGTTTTTGGTCATAAGTGGATTGGTAGATGGCATAAATGGCTATCAATGGAGGAGTTTTTTTTCTAAAACAAATCAGGTGACAAAGCTGTTTGGAAAACCACAGGGGTTAGGATGATGGTCCCCAATCACTCGTGCCCTTAATGGCGGCGAATCAGTAAAAAAAAACGATGGATCTGCGGAAGGTGTTACCCGGATCTTTCTAAAACCCACGCTTTGGAAAACCAGGGTTTTTTGCAGGTGAAAATGATGTCATTTTCACCATGATGATGAATCCTATGGTTAAAACACGAGTTTCTCCAGAAAATTGATGGCTCTCCAAATTGAATCATCCTTTTCCACAGCAAATGGGGAGACATTTTCTGAGGGGCGACCAGCCGAGGTGCAAAGACCGGCAAGCAGACCAGAAAGAAGGACGACGAGGCGAATGATTGGTCGAGTGGGATGGAGTGAAACCTTTGAAACCAAAGAGAGAGTAAGTAAAAAGTTGAGTTTTAGTATGTTTCTCTCAAACTGGGAGAAATTCTTTGGTTCTTCTAGGTTCATTTGTTTTTTTTTTCAATGCCCGGCATTAAATGATCCCTTCCAGGTCCCGGTCACCAAAAGGCAGGCGAACTGGGTATTTTGGGTGTCGGCCGTTGTCGTTGGCGCAGGCGAATTATACCACCATCATGCTTCGGAACATCCCGAACAAGTACTCCAGGCAGATGCTCATTGACCAGCACCTCGACGGGTTTTTGGTCGACCCGATTTGGAGATTTCCCAGGCTTCTGGCTGGTGAGCCGCCCATTCTTAAAACATGGGTGCAAGACGGCAAGACGGCACTCACTGTTTGGTACTTGGAGAATCTTGGATACTCTTACTTTTTCCCGGAAAAGGTCAAGGAAGTCAAGGTTGAGGGTGTGGTTCAGCCTGCTGAGGTTGCATTCAGCAGGTTTCCTGGGGCAGATCGATTACCTGTTTGGACCCCAGGGGTAACAAGCTGCGCCGCGCCGCTGCACCGCTGCGCCCCGCAGTTTGATATGTTTGATGAGTGATCAAGACATTGCTGATTGATTTTGAAATATTTTGAAACTGGAAAGTGAACTGTGAAACTTATGGATGGTATTTATATGTATTTATGGCATTTTTCATATGTATTAATTGGTCTTTCATAGCTGCTATCCAAAAATGGCGCTTGCCATCTGTTCAACCTGTTCCGGGGTCACCCACATGTGCCATGCTTGATATAGCCATAGGGCCATAGCGGGATGGTCATCCATTACCCTCTGGTAAACTAAGAGTTTGCGAACTTGAACATGGTCATAAAAATAGTGGATTTACCCATGAACATTGGTGATTTTCCAGTTTGTTACGTGAACGTTTACCAGAGTATAGCTGTAGTGAATTTCCATTGGATGGATGACATAAGCCATATTAAGCAGTGTAACTTGTCCATGGCACACCATTTCATGCTTGCTATCCAGTTGCTATGGAGCATTGGAGCATCCATCCTTTCACACACCATTGGAATGCACGATGCACTTGCATAGATGTCCCAAATTCCTACACAGTTTGATTGATTCATACATATTCATAAAGATTTTCCCGCACTTTACAAAACCTTGGTACACAATGGCAACCCCAAAACACTTTTTTTGGTGGGTAAAACCTACACCAACGACATAAAGTACCTCTGGTCATCTTACCTCATTGGGTTCTCGCTGGCACCGCAGTGCTCTGCTCGAGAGGGTGACCGATTTTATGTTCTGCAAACCTTGGGGATTCGGTTCCGCGCCACACGCCATGCTGCGACTTGTCCGGGCGTCTCAGCCAAGTGGCAAGACCACAGGTTGAAGCCATTTTGAATCGATTTTAGAGTGGAAAATGAGGTTTGAAACCTGTAGGCTTTTTTCCCCAAACTTTTCCAAGTCATCACCATCCTTCGGTGCATCGGCGCAACGTGGCGCAAGCTTCGCCCTAGGTATCGCTCGCCGGTTTGCTGACTCATGCCTGGGTTCTCAGCGAGGGGGTCTACGATGGAGACTGCTCCAAATATCTGGGTTCTTGCACTCCAGTCAAGAGGTGAATACTCCACTTTCGGGTTATGTATATCCCCATCCAGAACTTTATTTGTGACTGATATCCTATATATAATATATATATATACATATATATATATATTGTATATATATATATATATGTGTGGGTCAATTGTAATGTTCGAACTAAACATGATAAACAGATGCAAGAACATCTGGGCCAAAGACAAGAGACCGAGACCCCAAACCATGAGTAGCTACCAATTATGAATAAAATACATGAATAATGTATAAATCTTTCATATATATATATATAATACCTACAAACACACATACACATACATACAAATAGAGATATATACATATTACATAATATGTATATATATATATGTATATAAACAGACATACATATGATATACATATGATATACATAACATACAGTACATACATAACATACATAACATACATCATAGACATCATATACAAAAACATCCCGGCGGACCGGAAACCGTGCTCGTAAAAACAACGTTTTTCAAAAAAAATACTATTTTCGCCATGGCGAAACATACATTTCTGCAAGCCGAATTGTGCCAAATTCTCGCGCGAGAATTTGGCAAGATTCGCGTTTCGTGTGGGTTTTGGATTCATTTCATTGGGGCATGTTGACAGGCTTTTTCTTTCCTTCTTTTCAAAGCAGGCGCTTCAGCGTTGAATTTGTTTTTGCTGGAGATGGGTATGCAGATTCACATATATATATATATATACATGCATATATTCAGCAAAGCAACATGTATACAGCGAAGCAACGCTACCAGACATCTGTGCAGCGTAACAACATGAAGCGGAAGAAGTACAAGGAACGTTAACATGCCCCCCCCTCCCACCCCACCCCGCCCCTTCATGACCTGCGAACACACGCTAGCAAAAACGTGCCTTTTACGAGCACAATTTTTGGTCCGCTGGCAAAAACATGCAAAACAGTCATACAATGCATATAATACGTAACATAACACACATAACATACACAACATTTCACATGACATCTAGGTGACGGCCTACTATCGTGCAGCATACGATGTGACCGGCGCTGTCCGGGCAGCCAGAGTGTTAGCCGTGTCGGGGGTATCCCCAACAACATAGGTTTCAATACTAAGCAGGTCATCCATGACTTGGAAGATTTGGGGGGTACCCCCATTTTGGGAAGCAACCATATCTATATCCTGCTAAAACATAGTGATTGACCATCCGTGGCCCTGGAGGCCATATATCACTAGTATAGTACCTACCACCATGCTTGGAGTAGATTTCCTAGGCCTTACACATTCTCTTTTCTTCATTCAAGGTCTTACGGAAAGGGATGTAAGTGTGCCGTTGGTCAGCGATCTGATACGTTTTTGTAAGGATCTAATCGGCTCAAGACTCGTCAGAGCCAGTGGGTTTAAAGCTTCGAAGCCTTTTTTAGCAAATGTCCGTCTCTGCGAAAATGATTTCATCCTTCATCCGAATCATTCTGAAACGAACAATCCTATTAAAATGGCTGATTGGTTACACCGGCTACAATGGCTGCTTAGTAACTAAATGAAAACCCCCAGCCCAATGAGGTTCCAAAGAATGTGCCCTCTGGAAATCATTGAGACGGCTTGCTGGAACATCCCCATTTGGTTCCGTGGTCAATACTCATGGTTAATAACCATTAAAAACGGGGCTAGTCATCCAATGGTTCATAGGGATTTATAATACCCATTATAAGGATCCTTATTATGGATGGGATGACCATCAACCATATAGTGAGTATTGACCATGGCTCATTTGGTTCCGTGATCGGACGCCATGTGGTTCCCCAGGTGGTTGCGGACGCTGGCAACTTGACGGCGGGCGGCAAGGTGAGGACCCGCGTGGTTTACCCCAGGGTAAACCGTTGATCAGAAAGATGTGTAAAAACCACCATGAAAGTACCCGGCCTGGTAAACGTTTACATAACGAACTGGAAAGATCCACCATGCTATTAATGGGACAACTCACTATTTCTATCACCATTTTCAATAGCTTTTGGTATGTTTACCATAGGGTATCCATCATTTTCCCCGGAATGGGCTTTATGGACATCCCCCTAAAAACTCTGGAACTGGCGCCCTGAAGTTAGGGGATGTACGTGGCAAGTGACTGGTGTATCCCAATCGTTCTCAACATATCATATTCCACCTAGATATGGATGTGGCTGATATATATATATATTATATTATATTATATATATATTATATTATATATATATTATATTATATATATATTATATATTATATATTATATATTATATATTATATATATTATATATATATATATATATTTGCACATAGATTTATGCTCTACGGTATATAATATACTGATATTAATAATCATATTAATGCATATCCATATATGTTCAAGAACATTTACGCATTTTTTGCTGCAAAAACTCGAGAGATCATCCCAGGCATCAGATCATTGGTGGATGAAAAAAGTCGATGTGTTCACCTTTTTTTTGGCTTGAGATGTTTTCTTTTAGGTCGACCATCACTATGTGTTCAGGCTCAAAAAAAAACATGGAGGAATGGGTCAGTCTACTCTAATTTTTGGAATGTCCATTTTCTACCCTCTGGTAAACGTTTACATAGCTTTTTTTATTGAACATGGCCCAGTCGAAATAGTGGATTTTCCAGTTCGTGATGTAAACGTTTACCAGGCCGGGTAATCCTGTTCACCGAGTTCTCGCAGAGTTTGAATCCAGATTGGACTGAAATTCATCCCATGATCTCACGTCTAAGCTACGTCCCAGGTAGCTTGGTAAACTCACTGGCCATGACTCAGGTTCCTAAATTGGAGGTACCTACCAAGGCCTATGTAAGTGAATATCACCATAAAATATGGCCTTATATATGGTACAGTACCTCCATTTTAGGATGCTGGAATTCCCATTGACCAATTTCACCGTTGGAGTTCCGATGGCCCCCAGGTCGGTACATACACGGTTTTGCTGCAGCACGGGGCTCAGCTGGCGTGACCTGGGGACGTCTGGGGATAGTTTTTAGGATCCCGTGAAATATATGGATGTACTATAACAATCTACTATGTATATTTTATAGTTATATGAGTTATATGTATATGTACATATATATATATACATACATAGATACATAAATACGTCTATACATATACATGCATGCATGTACACACACACATATATATACACATATATATACACATATGTATGCATTTATACATACATACACATGTATGTGTATATATATATATATAAATGTGTTTATATACACATACATATATGTACATAATCATACAGCCTGAGGAATATGGAAATGCAACCACCTGATACATGGCCAACCTTGGTTCACGATAGCCGGGGGTCACTCATGTGAACCGAAAAAAGCAGCCATGGAAATCAACACTTGCAACTGGTAATTCGCCAGGTAATGACTAACATAGCGAACTGGAAAATCACAATTTTTAATAGGTAAACCATCTATAAATGGGCCATTTTCAATAGCAAACTGTTAGTTTACCAGAGGGTAATTTGCCAGATGCACATGTCAATCAAATTTACTGGGATGCTCTCCTGCAGTGAGTCTTCCCACTGCCTGATCAGGTGAACATGTGTTTTTTTTCCCTATCTTCCTTAATACCCTGTCCACCTTCCTTAGACAGTCGCGCAAACAAAACCATGCCTGCCAGGGTCCTGAACCCGGGACTGGGCGATCTTAAGCTCTTGTTGGCCACTGGGTAGCAATGTTTCACCGAGGATTTTTGTCAGTTTAAATGAAATGGGGGACCATGTTCATAGGGAAAATCATTCAAAAACCATAGTGCCATAATCTGGATTACCCTCTGGTAATTTAACATAGCGAACTGGAAAATCACCATGCTATTAACGGGTAAATCCACTATTTCTATGGCCATTTTCAATAGCTTTTTTTTAATGGGATTTATTGGGATTTAATTGTGGTTTAATGGGATTTATTGGGATTTAATGGTGGTTTTAATGGGATTTTAATGGTGGTTTATATAATGGGAAAATGGGATTTTAATGGGATTTTAATGGATTTTAATGGGATTTTAATGGGGTTTAATGGGATTTTAATGGGATTTAATGGTGGTTTAATGGGATTCAATTGTGTTTAATGGTGATTTAATGGGATTTAATGGGATTTTAATGGGATTTAATGGTGGTTTAATGGGATTCAATTGTGTTTAATGGTGATTTAATGGGATTTAATGAGACTTTAATGGGATTTAATGGTGGTTTAATGGGATTTTAATGGGATTTTAATGGATTTTAATGGGATTTTAATGGGATTTTAATGGGGTTTAATGGGATTTAATGGTGGTTTAATGGGATTTATTGGGATTGAATGGGATTTTATGGTGGTTTAATGGGACTTACCCGGCCTGGCAGGCGTTGACATAACGAACTGGAAAGATCCACCATTTTGAATGAATGGGTAAATCAATGTAAGTCAACGATAACATCTATGGAAACATGTGTCATTTTCCAGTTCGCAAAACGTTAAATCACCGTTTTGGGTAAGTGTTGGTGAAAAATCTTATGTTGATCCTGGAGAAATCGCCGGAGATCGAGGGTACCCTCTGGTGATTTTTCATAGTTATGTTGATTTAAAGCTATCAAAGGCATGGAAAATGGGTGATTCTTGTGGTGGTTTAATGGTGATCTAATGGGATTTAACCTCTGGTTATGACTAACATAGCCATGGTAGCCATGGTCCATAGAAATAGATGGGTTTGCCGTTCTTGATAGCATGGTGATTTTCCATGGCGAACTGTTAAATAACCAGATGGTATTTTCTATTTTTATCCTCTGGCTCGTGATAGTCCTTTTGGTTACAGGTCCATTTGAATTCACTATTGCTATGCTGGCTTTATATTTCTAATGATGTTTGCTGCACCCCCACCTGCATTTTGCTGTCATATCGCATATATACACTATTTTCGAGTTTTCCCACTCGTGTTCTTATTTTTTTTTTTAAAACACCCTATCTTGTTGTTTGTTTCAAATCGCCATTTATCTTAAATCCGGTTGTTCCCGTTGCTTCAGCTGCCAGTCTTTGTTGATTCAAACTGATGAAAAATGCCAGAATCGAAGGATGAGATGCCGGAAAACAACCACCAAAATGGTGGGTAAAACATGGTAAAACCATCGTTTCCTGCAGATTTTCCTGTATATCCAGTAATTCAAATCTCAATTGCCGTTAATGCCATCAACCCGAAAACCAACCCAGGAGTGCTGCGGAGACGCCCGGGACTACGCCAGTGAGATCGCCAGCAAGGCGGGTCTATGATCAAAAAATGGAGAAATGTGGCGTGATTGAGATTTTTGGATGATTTTTGGATGATTTTTGGATGATTTAACTAGAATTTAAGATGTTTATTTTTTTCCCGGGGATCTACGAGTTACTATGAGTTTGATTGCCTGGGCGCAAAAGACTTGGAGCATCAAACGCGGGGTGTTAAGCAACAAAATTGTCGTTTGAGGAAGAATACATGGCGATTAAACCAATCAAGAAGGGCAAGAATTACTAGCGGAAGAACAAATGGCTAGACATAGATCGACATACAATCGTATCCGCCCAAAACAGAATTGAAGCCGTACGCTTTAGTTTTTAGCATGTTTTGGCTTAGATGCTTTTGTCACATATCATATCCCAGCAAAAGTACAACTTTTTGCAGGGGACAGACATACCAGAAAGTAATAAGAATCGCCCATAAGAGGTTCCCAGAATGAGCAGATCTAAAATCTAAACTAACACAATTGGTTTGGGTGCCCTAGCATAGCAAAAAGGGTTCTACATAATACACGGGGATTTGACAACAGGGATTGACGAGCCAAAATTGGAGAATGAAGCGATTCTGTTCCATTTTTCAAGCAATTTCTTGTGACCACTACACACGTTTTTTTGGACTATGCATTTTTAAGACAGCTATGGGAACAGAAATTGGTCATTTCGACGTCGGTTTTGCGCCCATTGACTTGACCGAAACGGTGCAGTATTTCTGGTAACAGTGCAGTATTCCGAATCAGAATGGAGTTTTAAAGCAGTCACATGCTAAAACTCCCTGAACCACTGAGGAACATCAAAAACACATATTGTTTTTGTTTTTTTCTCCCATGGTTAGCTTCCATAACTCTGGAACATTTGCTGGAAAAATCTGTCGATGGCTGGCCTTCAAAAGGGTCACCTTGTGACCTGCAGATTGGCCTGACACACTTTGTGATGATCAACTGGGGCATGCTATCTCAGTTCTACGGGGCTGCAAAACGTTACAAGCCCATGACTCATTGGTAATGAACAATATTCACTTGGGGGTTTCTTCAAATGGGGGATCCCCAAGCCACCATGGCTGTTTCAATACTAGAATGGCCATCCATGACTTGGATGATTTGGGGCACCACCATTTTTAGGAAGCCTCCGCACATCTACTGTTGCAACTTGCAACCATTATTCATTATTCCTGATATCCCATTATCGTAGTATGCCAGGACTTAATTCCACTGGCTGTGCATTAAAAAAATACATCGTCAAGAGACCCCACACAGTGTGGGGGGTAGGAAGTCAATGTGCCAGACACAAGCAACAGTAGCTATGGAACAGTAGCAGATCAGGTTAGACAGTATCGCAACTGCAGCAGCAGGGACTTGTTTCGGAACAAGAAGCGATGCTATGTCTACCTATTAAGACCTCATACCAGAACCTGATACCAGGACATCTAAGAGAATTTCAAGCGATCGTCAGAGAAGGACCTTCTACATAGATCTAGATAGAGGATCTCACAAGATGTTTATACAAGAACTTCCTATGAGCACCCCAGAAGAATTCTCATACAAACACCAATGCAGACCATCTTCAAGATCTTAATGCAAGGACCCCTTGAGGAGGATTTCAACAGGATCTCCACAAGATCTTCTCATAAGGACCGGTATCGAGACCATGCAAGGACACTTAGAGGATTTCACCAGGATCTCTGCAAGATCTTCTCACAGACAGATAGAGAGGCAGAGATGAAGACATTAAAACATGTTTATCCTCCCATATGCACCCAAATCATTTTGAGAGGCGGCTTTGATTTTCATTATAAGTAAGATTGATTAATGGAAAAAGAACAATATTAAATTTGCAGAATGGCAAACCACCAACATTTTCACGGCCAGATACCCTCTGGTAAACGAACATAGCTATAGAAAATGGCCCATGGAAAAAGATGGTTTACCTATGAATAGCATGGTGATTTTCTATAGCTATGTTAAATTACCAGAGGGTAAATCCCATTAAACCCCATTAAATCCTGATTAAATCCCATTAAACCACCATTAAACCACCATTAAACCACAATTAAATTACCAGAGGGTAAGTGCCCCATATATTCTCGTGCCCCAGGTGAACCTGAACGCCATCCAGGGCAGCGACCAGGAGGCGCCAATGGCTGGCGTTGGCGGCGAGTTGGGCAGGGACGAGTAGCAACTTGTGCTGTGCTAAACCCAGGACTTGAAGAGTTTTACACATGGATTTCGATTTTCAAATCCGAGAACAGTTGAGTGGCTCTGTACCCAGATTTTCTGTGGTGTTTACTAGTTTACCCCTTCAAGAAACCCGGGATAGATTCATTCTAAACCAATATAAACCATGCACAAATGGAGATTTACGGCATTGGGTGAACAGCAAGGTACTACTGTTCATTTGAAGTTGGATGACAGTGGTCATCCACTGACAAGATTGTGCCTTCAGTTCTTCGAGGCTCTGGACTTCCCCATCGAACACCCTGGTTGAACTGGATTTAAGTGGCCAAAAGTGAGTGGCAGTAAAAACACAGTCAAATTACGAGTTTGAACTTGATACCTTTGTTCTTGATTATTGTTTGTTCATAGTATCATATTGTCCCCACTCTCATCCTTTTGTGGGTTCTTTGACCAATTTTTTGAAGCGATAGGCCATAGATGTCCTTTTTCTCATTGGTTCATGCATACTAGATGTGTTTTCATGAACATTTCACACTATATTGATAGGGTAAATCATGTGTATTATTCTATATATGATATATGTCTATAATATATATATATGTGATATATGTCTATAATATGTTTATACTATCCGTATATCCCCTGGGACAAAGATTGATACATGGAAGTGTGGACGCAGGAAACCATCCGAAAGAACTACGTAGGCGATGGCAAGTGCTCCGCTCCAGGGCCTATCGTTCCCTGGTGGAGTTGGAACGTGTTTTTTTTTGAAAATTCCACCCTTTCTGATAAAATTTAGTATATCATAATATTATAATGATTCCATGATATTATGATATACTATGATATACTATGATATACTATGATATACTATGATATACTATGATATACTATGATATACTAAGTCTGGTTTCTATCTCTGATCCATTTAGTATATCATAGTATATCATAATATCTTCACGCATTTTTCTTGGAAAACATCTATACAATGCATGAACTCCACTTAAATGTTTTTCCCAGGAGCTTCAGGATGAACAGCTCAGGCATCCTTGGCGAAGAAGGGAGACAAGAAGTGCAACTACGTCTACAGCTTTGCGAATAAGCTGCTGGGCGTGGCTGAAGCCCCTGTTGATCATGCAACCCTGCAACCCTGCAACGGGACCCCATTTCTTATGTTTTTTTTTTTTAAATCACTGTTCTATACTATTCTTGTTTAGTATGGCAGTCTAATTCATGCCCGTGATGTTGTTCTTAAATGATCCTATTTTTTTTTTGGAGTTTCGACAATTTTTTGTCCAATCACAGTTTTTGTTCATCATATTCACACACACCCACACAAAAAATTCCACACGCGCGCGGGCACTTGTCCAAAAATCAGGGATGCTCCAGAATCCTTTGGTTTATCATGGTTTTTTCCATTCAAAGTCCAATTTGAGCACCACTTTTTTTGACCCATTTCAATGCCACCAATGCGCCACAGATATCATACCTATTCGATCACTCCCCCCAAAGGTAAAACCCCTCAAGGATAAACGGTTCAAATTTGCCGCTGGTGATCGGTGATTAAGATTCGCCGAAAACCCTCTGGTAAACATAGCAAAAATCACCACTTTGGGTAATTCATTGAAGTGAATGGGCCATGGCTTCCAAAGCTATGAAACAAATTACCAAAAGGTAGTCAACCCAATCATTGTTGGTTAACTTCCATTACTGGTTGGTGGTTCGGAACATGAATTTTATTTTTCCATTCAGTTGGGAATTTCATCATCCCATCTGACGAAGTTTATCATTTTTCAGAGGGGTAGGGCTCAACCACCAACCAGATTATTATTAACCATCATTAACCATATAATAACCATCATCATTAACAGTATATTAGCATATAACAGTATATTAACCATCATTAACCATTGTTATTAACCATCATTAACCATTGTTATTAACCATCATTAACCATTGTTATTAACCATCATTAACCATTATTATTAACCATCATGAACCATTATTATTAACCATCATTAACCATTATTATTAACCATCATTAACCATTGTTATTAACCATCATTAACCACTATTATTAACCATCATTAACCATTATTATTAACCATCATTAACCATTGTTATTAAACATTATTAACCATTACTATTTAACAATTATTAACATATAACAGTATATTAACCATTATTAACCATTGTTGAGGGTGCAATCCCTTGGATTTTACCCCTTGCCAAGGGCCTGGAAGCAGTATCAGTACACCGCCCAGTGCATCCCCAGCGACGTTTGCGCGGTGGACGTCGTGGGCGCTACCAAGGGACTCAAAGGTGCGCCCGGCGGCACCGCTGGGTACAGCAAGGAGTGGAAACCATGGGAATAATGCTGTTGAAGCATCAAACATGGGGGATTTTACCAACAAAATTGTGATGTGATGGGCATATGATGGGAGTGAAGGGGATGACGGAAAGCAAAAAATGGGTACAGGAATGGCCACCCAAGTTGCTTGAAATATGTAGGCCAACGATTGGACTATGGTGGACATATACATGATCTGTAGTTTCAAGTTGTAAAACAACTTATCATCCAACGAGCCTGTTGTGAATTTGGTAGATTTTGTGGTAGCTCAAAATTGGTGACCCCCAAAGTGGATTGTTCATATTGTTCAATACTAAAAGTGACCAATTTTATCCAATTTTGGTGATTCCTTTTTGACCCTGACCTGAGCAAAGATGGACAGTAGGTTTCCTGGAATGGGTAAGTCATGGACGAGGGTCATTTTCGAATGCTCCAAGCGGGATGCAACTAGCAAGAGCACATCACCGTGCAAAGCAGAAGAAGAAGAAGAAGAAGAATAAGAAGAAAAGTAGGATGATGATGAAGAAAACGATGATGAAGCCAACAGAGAATTTGGATATGATAAATATGGCGAAAAGGCGCCGGATCAGCTTTCAGCAGTCCATGGCGATCTGATCCAGGTTTTCAGTGGACATGAAGCAACAAACATTGGGAATCTGACCTAACTTGAAGAGAAAGAAATCAAAAAATAAACCCAGTATGTATGAGGTCAAACATGGACATATCATATATATATACACACGAATTCAGGGATTAAACCAGTAAATTACTGTGCATCATGTTTCACCCGAGGTTCTCCAATTTCTTTTGACGAAGTTGGGATGTTGGGATCTTCATCGTGATTCCCATGTCGATGAAACATGTGAACAATGTACCCTCTGGTTATGACTAACAGTTTGCCATGGGAAATGGCCCATAGAAATAGATGGTTTACCTATTAAAAATGGTGATTTTCCATGGCTATGTTAAATAACCAGAGGGTAAGTAGTAAGTAGTTCCATAATTTCGACTCCAAGGGTGTCTTTTTTGTAGCAGTTTTGAGGGAGTTTCTGCTTCATTTTGATATGGCTCAAGAAGCCAAAATACTTGAAATCAAAATCCTCCAAAATGGTGCATTTCTGAGGGAAACCACCCTGATTTTGTTGTTCCCCCAGTTCTTCACGTGATGCCCAAACACGGGATTGTCAACAACTGGACATTTTGACCCACCACAAAGCTCTGTCGGAGAGTTCCCTCCATACCAAAGCCCCATCTACAATCACTGGCAACATGGGAATTTTGAGTTATAGATCCCAGTTATAGATCCATACCAAACCCTATCCCAGTTACAGATCCCAGTGATCTATACCATCTGGTTATTTAACATAGCCATGGAAAATCCCTTATGAATTAACGTTTTAATGGGAAAATCATCTATAAATGGGCCATCTATACCATGGCGAACTGTTAGTCATAAGCAGAGGGTAAGGGTGATTTCCATGGATTTCCCAGTTCTCCCCCTTGATTTGGCAGTGTTGGAAATCTCCCGGCCTCGCAACGGCCACGCAACGGCCCAGTGGCCTACCCGGTGGTGATCCAAATTCTGAACCGCAACGCCGGCGACCTCTTCTACGCCGGCCATGGACCCATCGGCTCCTGCCTGGAGGTCTCGGCGGAAACGGCTGGGATGTTCAGTGGGAAAGCCCATGGATTTCATGATATTCACACATACGTTATATATATATATGATAAATAAATATATATATATATGATAAATATGATTCATACGGGTTTAATTCCGAGGGAAACCATGAGCCACATGATTCATTTCGAAATGGCAATGTCACCCTGATGGGGAAACATGAGTCATTTTCCATCATTTGCCCAATGAAGGCACTTTCCATTCAAAGCAGAAGTACTGTGGTAAGCCCGATGCCGCAAACACCTGGTTTCTGGATGGTCCAGGAAAAAACAATAGAGACCTCACAACAATGGCATACATGATGTTGGTAAGGGGTATCCTCCTGAACCATCTCTAAATTAGGGTTATATAGTTATATAGTATAGTTTAGAATATTTGTTTTCTTTCAGGCTTCCCAGGTGGTTCTCGGTAATCCTTCCGGTGGGCATCGGCTTTCACCTTTGATACATGAGGAATTCATAGGCAGTTTTCAATGCCCATTCAGACCGTTACACACTTTCTGCTTCTGATTTGACTGATTAAAACAGCGAGCCTCTACTGTACTATTTCCTCATGGGGTTGACTGTTGCATCTTTGTTGACTCCAATACTCGACCTTGCAACAACCTGGCACATGCGTCATCAGCACTTGATGCAACTACATTGAGATCCAGACCGGATCGAGCCTCGTGGCAGACCATGATGGGTCTGGTGCTCATAGATTTTGGATGATTTTGGCTTATTGCCATCGGTTGTCTATGTCAAGTCCTTTTTTCTCCAAACAGTGGGTTCTAAGCGTTAAGGCCGGTGTTTGATCGAGGTGCTCATTCTGGGCCCCGGCACTTTCCCTGTCAATTTCCGCATAACATGGCTCTTCTATGCTCTTCTCACATGTCCATGACTGCGCAGGCTCGCACAAAGTTTGCGGCGCGAGTTTTGCTTGCGCTTGGTCTGCGGCCTTTTACCTGTAAATTTCTGCATAAAACGGTTCTTCCAACATGTCCATGCGCATTTCGACTGCACAGGGTCGCGCAAACTGTGGGTCCCGGTTTTGGGATCGGTCCTCCTCCTCCACATCATCATCCTCAACACCATCATCTTCCTCCTCCTTGACACCATCATCCTCAACATCATCATTATCATCCTCCACCTCATCTTCCGCAACATCATTATCCTCCACCTCCTCTTCCGCAACATTATCATCCTCTTCATCATCATGATCATCCTCCTCCTCAACATCATCATCCTCAACATCATTTTCCTCCTTCTCAGCATCATCATCTTCAACCTCATCCTCCACCTCATCATCCTCAACATCATTATCCTGAACCTCATCATCCTCAACATCACATCATCCTCAGCATCATTATCCTGCAACTCATCATCCTCAACATCACATCATCCTCAACATCATTGTCCGCACCATTGTCATCCTCCGCACCATCACCATCATCACCATCATCACCATCATCACCATCATCACCATCATCACCATCATCACCATCATCACCATCATCACCATCATCACCATCACCACCATCACCACCATCATCGCCATCATCACCACCACCATCACCAGCATCATCATCATCATCATCAGCATCATCATCATCACCATCATCATAACTATCACCATCACCATCACCATCATCATCATCATCGTCGTCGTCGTCGTCATCATCAACATTATCATACATTATCCTCCCGCTCCTCCACACTGTTTGGGGTCTCTTGCCGGGATAATTTTATCATTTGAAGGATGTTTTTTTTGTTCGCGGGGGACACCCCATGCCCCGGTTGCGTCCCTGCCCCAAACCTTGGCAGGGAATGAATCAAGTGAACTTGGCAAACGTGGAAGCCAAAAGAGAGGCGGACTGGTAGGCGATGGGTGGTTTGGAAATCCTGGGATGCCCCAGGCATGGTCAAAATGGGTCTCAGATCTGTGGCAAAACCTGAAGAACCTGTGGGTTGGGTGTGAGACATCGAAGTTCAACTGCATAAGAATTAGCTACTAGTGATAGTGGATGATAGCGAGATCTCAACATTGGTTTGGAAATTCTTGATTACCCTCTCGTAATAACTAATTAATCATGGAAAATGACCATGCTTCAATGCTTGATAGGTCAATGAGTCAATCATCTATAAAGGGACCATTTTGATAGCTGATAGCAATGTTAAATTACACGAATGTAATCTTGGCCAGATGCGCTACTAGTGGATAGTAAGATGACGCAGACTCAGAGCATTGACAACTAAGATTGAATAGTTTAGAAGGTCATTCTTGAGCCCCATTTGTGCCATGCTCAAAGGTCGGATTGTATTGCCAATATTGGGGGATGATAATTCCACTATTCATAGGGGTAAAATGACCCCTTGATATACCCACTATCGGGGTTGTACGCCCATTCACTTGTTGGATCTGTTGGTAAACCAACATGGACAGGGCCGATTCTCGGGAAGTGGAGACCGAATGAGCAATCGTAAGGAGATACCCCCAATCAATGGATTGGCCTAAGGGGAACTTGCAGGAAACCTCCATATTTCATGGGAAAATCCATGGTTTCCGGTTCCGATTTTCCTCTACACATCGGATTTCACCACTCCATTGAGGAGAATGATGAGGGCCTGGGCCGGCCAGGAAACTTCCATCAAAGTCTTCGGGAAGACGATCCCCACCGGCTTCAAAGAGTGCCTTGCCATGCCTTGGCCGTCCGTGGATTTCCATCGAGAAAAGCGGTGGTTGTGATGTCACCGTCACTGGTCACTGGGTCTAAGTTAACTTTGGTTCCCCCAAGTTGAATATAGTACATAATAGTAGTTGTGGCATGTTTTGGATTGAAACCGCTACCCAGATATTCTTTGGTTTCATGCAACTCTGCAACTTTCCACGGGATCTCTTCAAGACTATTGCTACGACCCCTGAAGTTCAAGAGTGTTTCTAAAAGGATCTCTCAAGGGATCTCTCTACAAATTCCTAGGTCCTAGGTGTGTTCCCTTTCTTTCAGTAGAGAACTCAAATTCCTGGCTCCGTTCGTTACCCGTTTTTTTTATCTCCAGATCTCCGGATCTCATGATCTAATCCCCCAAGAACCTGATCTCTGGATGACATCTCACAATAATATATATATATATATCTGGTTGGTGGTTTGGAACTTTTGGAACATGAATTTTATTTTCCCCAATAGTTGGGATGATGATCCAATCTGACAAATATTCTTTGCATAGGAGTCTGTAAGGATGATAGGAACACAGCGATACATTGCAGTTCTGATACACTTTTGCCAATGTATTTCCAAAAACTGTTGGTTCGAGTTTGCTCAGCCACCGTCTGCCTATGTACCCAAGGGTATGCAACGATAAAGCAAAAATCACAGTCACCTCTTTTGACCCGAAGTATGCCCATCCTCCCCTGGTATTCAGAAGGAATCTTGTATACCCGCCGTACATTGTAATCACGAAAAGCTTGCTTGCGAAGATACAATGCAACACCAGCAGCGTTCTCAGACTTGCCTGAATGCCCCCATTCATAAATGTGAAACGTACCAACCTGTGATTTGCAGCATGCAGGATCCTCTCGGTGTCGTTTTCGTTTTGTGCCTGACAAACCCAACACGTGATATCCAGCAAATGCAGTTGCAATCTCTTCTTTACGTGAGAGTTCCCAAGCACTATGAGGGTTGTAAGCAGCAAAACGCCAGCGCATGATCCCAGCAGGCCAGCAACAGCTTTATGAAGCAGCTGAAATTTCATGAACCCCCCGCGTGCATACGTCGCAAGGCGAACATCCCCCGGCACTCCGCTTGTCTGAAAGGGGCTATCTCACAATATATTACTGTATATATATAATATATATATAATATATGTATATATAATATATATAATATATATATATATAAAATAGATCCTTCTGCAAGATCTGTATGCACTTATTTTTTTATCGGTATAAGCACCCTCATATCATTCTGTTTTGAATCTTTGTAACATCTCTGCGGATCCCTGTACGATCTTTTCACAAGTCAAATGTCGAAATAACCTTTGAAGATAGTTGTGATGATTTTTCAAAAGACCTGTGGCCGATCTGCAGAATGCGCACATGGAGTATCATACTTTCTGTGAAACTGCAGCACCTGAGGGTCATGCACATCGAGGGCATGAAGCAACTCCATGTGACAGATGCTCGGTACCGACACCTGATTTACCGGGCCAAGGCTTGATGAGAGTCTAAACCTTGCTACGTTCGAGTCCGTGCCAAGGGCACTAGTCGTCCTAATGGGATTACAAAACGGTTTTGGTCATTTCCATCAAATCTCAGCGAAGACAATCGCACATAGGAAAAATCACCCTTACCATCTGGTTATGACTAACATAGCCATGGAAAATCACCATTTATAATAGGTAAACCATCTATAAATGGGCAATTTTCCATGGCTATGTTAAATATCCAGAGGGTATGTTTTTTTCTTGTTTTGGTGGGTATTTAGATTAGCATAGATGAGCCAGCTGCAAGTACAAACGTACCTTTTTTGTTTGACCTAGGCAGTGCGGGGACCAGTGACCAGGGGACATTCCGCTAGTCCAACATGGCGAAAAGCCAGCAGTTTTCATGGATCAATCATCGAGAATCATTCCCAAGGCCCAAACAGCCCTTTTATCAACAGCGCTTTTATCAAAAAAATGGGTTGTCAGAATTTTAACAGCGCGTTTTTTTTTGTTTTTCCAGTTAAAAATCTTGCATATACCATCTGGTTATTTAACATAGCCATGGAAAATGGCCCATTTATAGATGGTTTACCTATTAAAAATGGTGATTTTCCATGGCTATGTTAAATAACCAGAGGGTACATAGAGTAGCTCCAATATCGACAGAGGCATTTCCAAAGCCATTCCATCCAGCGCGTGAAAAAATCATGTTCCCCATCAAACTTGCCATTGGGAAGGCCTTGAATTTTGTCCATTTTCAGACCCCTAATTCCATTACGAAATATCATGAAAATTCATGAAATAAGGTTACATAACTCCCCGATTTTTGGCTAAATTCTCCCAGTTCCCCGCCGAGCTGGGATCGGCTGTGATCACGAGGACATGTTCTCCAAGTGCGAGAACAGGTCTGACACTGGACTCTTGGACGCGAAACCTTGAGGGGGCTCCGAAAATGGGAGATACCGGGTTCTTCAAAAAAAACAGCCATCCACAGGAAACCACAGAGATACCCTGCTTACCCCCGCAACCCCCAACTTCAATGTTGTGATCGGAAGTGCCGAGCATCATCAACAGAAATGGCTGTTTTTTTTGAAGGCCGCCAAACACAAACTTCAGAAGACAACATTGAATTGGGGGACGGGGGGGGCATGACCTCTGTGGTGTGGTACTTCATGGGATGGCTGTTTTTTTGAAGAACCCGGACTCAGAAAAGACACAATAGGATGGACCCATGGCTGCAGACAAACGCGAGAATGATGACGACACTGTGTCAGGGAAAGCATCGGGATCAGTTTGGGCGGGTGTTTGTGTGTGGGTGTGTCTGTTTGCTTGCGCGGGCGCATATGTGCTAATATGGGTTGTGCTAAGTGAAATACATGCAGCGACAGTCTTGACACCTTTTTGACCTGATTCCGCAATGTCGTGGGGTGCACTGGCTGTCGTTCTGCGTGGCAGGCGCGCCACTTTGAGAGCGTGACTGCTCTATCCTGCACACCTGCCATGCAACGCACATGCAACACACATGCAACACACATGCAACACACATGCAACACACATGCAACACGACATGCAACATGAGCTTTTTACCTGTAAATTTACAGTCAACGTGCAGGATTTGACGTTTGCAGCCCCAACTCCGGTCTTAGAATGGAAAGTGTAGATTTTTGCCCCCGCGGCCACTTTGCTTGGAAATTGACAAGGAAAATGCTCGTGTTGCATGTGTGTTGCATGTGTGTTGCACGTGCGTTGCATTGGCAGCCGTGAAGTGGGGAAGTAGAAAACAGCGTGGCAGGCGCAAGAGTTGTAGGTGGCAGGGGCGAGACTTTGGAAGCTGAGCGCCTTGGATATTACATTGTCGTGGTGGCCCGTAGCATCCACCTTTGTGGGGTTGTCGCATATTCAAAAAAAAACAGCCATCCACAGGAAACCACAGAGATACCCTGCTTACCCCCGCAACCCCCAACTTCAATGTTGTGATCGGAAGTGCCGAGCATCATCAACAGAGATGGCTGTTTTTTTTGAAGGCCGCCAAACACAAAATTCAGAAGACAACATTGAATTGGGGGACGGGGAGGGCATGACCTCTGTGGTGTGGTACTTCATGGGATGGCTGTTTTTTTTGAAGAACCCGGACTCAGAAAAGACACAATCGGATGGACCCATGGCTGCAGACAAACGCGAGAATGATGACGACACTCTGTCAGAGAAAGCATCGGGATCAGTTTGGGCGGGGGTTTGTGTGTGGGTGTGTCTGTTTGCTTGCGCGGGCGCATATGTGCTAATATGGGTTGTGCTAAGTGAATTACATGCAGCGACAGTCTTGACACCTTTTTGACCTGATTCCGCAATGTCGTTGGGTGCACTGGCTGTCGTTCTGCGTGGCAGGCGCACCACTTTGAGAGCGTGACTGCTCTATCTATCCTGCACACCTGCCATGCAACGCACATGCAACACGACATGCAACATGAGCTTTTTACCTGTAAATTTACAGTCAACGTGCAGGATTTGACGTTTGCAGCCCCAACTCCGGTCTTAGAATGGAAAGTGTAGATTTTTGCCCCCGCGGCCACTCTGCTTGGAAATTTACAGGGAAAATGCTCGTGTTGCATGTGTGTTGCATGTGTGTTGCATGTGTGTTGCATGTGTGTTGCATGTGTGTTGCACGTGCGTTGCATTGGCAGCCGTGAAGTGGGGAAGTAGAAAACAGCGTGGCAGGCGCAAGAGTTGTAGGTGGCAGGGGCGAGACTTTGGAAGCTGAGCGCCTTGGATATTACATTGTCGTGGTGGCCCGTAGCATCCACCTTTGTGAGGTTGTCGCATATTCTACAGAATAAGTTTTGACAACCATCTTGGGTAAATTTCACAAGCTGATGGTTAGCCCTTAGCATCCACCTTTATTGGGCTGTCACAGATTACAGAAGCGCATGCTTTGACAATGCGTAAATTTCAGAAGCTGATGTTGTCGCATCGATGTGTGTGGATGTGTGCTGATCTACATCCACATGCATATTAACAACAGTTAAAGTGAACTCGGAACCAAAAAAACTCACCGGGTTCTTCAAAAAAAACAGCCATCCACAGGAAACCACAGAGATACCCTGCTTACCCCCGCAACCCCCAACTTCAATGTTGTGATCGGAAGTGCCGAGCATCATCAACAGAAATGGCTGTTTTTTTGAAGGCCGCCAAACACAAAATTCAGAAGACAACATTGAATTGGGGGACGGGGGGTGGCATGACCTCTCTGGTGTGGTACTTCATGGGATGGCTGTTTTTTTTGAAGAACCCGGACTCAGAAAAGACACAGTAGGATGGACCCATGGCTGCAGACAAACGTGAGAATGATGACGACACTGTGTCAGAGAAAGCATCGGGATCAGTTTGGGCGGGTGTTTGTGTGTGGGTGTCGCATATGCGCTAATATGGGTTGTGCTAAGTGAAATACATGCGGCGACAGTCTTGACACCTTTTTGACCTGATTCCGCAATGTCGTGGGGTGCACTGGCTGTCGTTCTGCGTGGCAGGCGCACCACTTTGAGAGCGTGACTGCTCTATCCTGCACCCCTGCCATGCAACGCACATGCAACACACATGCAACACACATGCAACACGACATGCAACATGAGCTTTTTACCTGTAAATTTACAGTCAACGTGCAAGATTTGACGTTTGCAGCCTCAACTCCGGTCTTAGAATGGAAAGTGTAGATTTTTGCCCCCGCGGCCACTTTGCTTGGAAATTTACAGGGAAAATGCTCGTGTTGCATGTGTGTTGCATGTGTGTCGCATGTGTGTTGCATGTGTGTTGCATGTGTGTTGCATGTGCGTTGCATTGGCAGCCGTGAAGTGGGGAAGTAGAAAACAGCGTGGCAGGCGCAAGAGTTGTAGGTGGCAGGTGCGAGACTTTGGAAGCTGAGCGCCTTGGATATTACATTGTCGTGGTGGCCCGTAGCATCCACCTTTGTGGGGTTGTCACATATTATACAGAATAAGTTTTGACAACCGTCTTGGGTAAATTTCACAAGCTGATGGTTAGCCCTTAGCATCCACCTTTATTGGGCTGTCACAGATTACAAAGCGCATGCTTTGACAATGCGTAAATTTCAGAAGCTGATGTTGTCGCATCGATGTGTGTGGATGTGTGCTGATCTACATCCACATGCATATTAACAACAGTTAAAATGAACTCGGAACCAAAAAAAAACTCACCGGGTTCTTCCAAAAAAAACAGCCATCCACAGGAAACCACAGAGATACCCTGCTTACCCCCGCAACCCCCAACTTCAATGTTGTGATCGGAAGTGCCGAGCATCATCAACAGAAATGGCTGTTTTTTTTGAAGGCCACCAAACACAAAATTCAGAAGGCAACATTGAAGTGGGGGGACGGGGGGGGCATGACCTCTGTGGTGTGGTACTTTATGGGATGGCTGTTTTTTTTGAAGAACCCGGACTCAGAAAAGACACAATAGGATGGACCCATGGTGCAAACAAACGCGCGAATGCTTGACGACACTGTGTCAGCGGCAAGCAGAGGGATCAGTTTGGGCGGGTGTTTGTGTCTTGTGGGTGTGGTCTTTGCTTGGCGGGCGGGCGCATATGTGCTAATATGGGTTGTGCTAAGTGAAATACATGCGGCGATAGTCTTCACACCTTTTTGACCTGATTCCGCAATGTCGTACATGCAGCGACAGTCTTGACACCTTTTTGACCTGATTCCGCAATGTCGTGGGGTGCACTGGCTGTCGTTCTGCGTGGGACTGCTCTATCCTGCACACCTGCCATGCAACGCACATGCAACACACATGCAACACACATGCAACACGACATGCAACATGAGCTTTTGACCTGTAAATTTACAGTCAACGTGCAGGATTTGACGTTTGCAGCCCCAACTCCGGTCTTAGAATGGAAAGTGTAGATTTTTGCCCCCGCGGCCACTTTGCTTGGAAATTTACAGGGAAAATGCTCGTGTTGCATGTGTGTTGCATGTGTGTTGCATGTGTGTTGCATGTG